GCTGGGGCAGCTGGGATATTTCTCCCCACTGATTCCAGACTTCATAACGACGGCTAACTCCAAGGAAGTGCAACCACTGCTCTAAACCCTTTCCACTGACTCTTCATCTTCACACCGGCCGGCTCTTCCTATCCCGTCTACAGCTGAGGAAACACAGCTGAGTAGGTGGTGTGCCAAAGTTGGGAAGTGAAGAAGCCGGGTTTTGAACCCAGGCCATCTGGGTCCAGAGTTAGTGCTCTTAACACACTGGTAGTTGTGTACCTTAGAGCAGTGCAGTGCGAGCAGACTCGCACACCCCAAGTGTGTCGTCTCAGCTAGGAGGTGGCAAACGTATCTGTGATCTATTATGAGAATCCTTTCGAACTGTGATGAGCTCTGCAAGGTTTGTTTCAAATCCCCTGTGGGCAAGCCTTCCTCCTTTCAGCTTTGGCCTATAAGATACCTTTTATCCTCAAATAACTTCAAAGCATGTTTGTATTTTTTTTTTTTAATAAAAGTTTTGTTTCTTAAGGAATTCTGAAAGGGTATTAAAGTAATCAGTGTGGTCCTAAGGAATTTTATCTCTAACTTCCTCACTCTGGGAGACAGGCCCTATGAATGTACTTCAAACGTTGTTGATCTGGCTTCTCTCAGCCTAGGGGGAAGCGGGGCTATGTTATCCTGTTGGGCCCAGGGTTTTCTTGTTTGTTGTTTGATTCGTGGCCATTTGCAGTTATGGGCGGAGCTGAGGGTGGAGGGGCTGGGTGCTAGTTCAAGGATGGGATCAGGGTTCCTGCCCTCTGCCTCCAGTTGTCTGTGTGGCTTGGTCAGGCCACATCCCTTTGTGGGGCCTCAGTTTCCTCATCTGTATCATGAGGGCCTGGCTAGACGCTCTGAGGTGTCAGCACGTGGTGTGCTTTTTTTTTGAGGGTTCTTATTTTTGTCAGGGTTTTCTTGATCTTCGTCCCGATCTTCTGTGACTGACTGTCATGCGGAGCGTGTCTGGTTCCTTCAAAACAAGGAATCCTGAGAGACGGGCCCAGACAAAAGGGAGAGAGTGCTGGTGAGCAAGTCCTGGTACCGATTTAGTCCCTCAACCTCTTCCCGACACTCGTCCCTCCTCACGTGGCCCGGACAGTTTGTAGCCTGCTCAACTTCTTCAGCCCTGACGCCCAGCTCCTCGCGTAAACTCCCTCACTGGCTCCCTACTGCCCACTCAGCCAAGTCCACACTCTTCTCATGCTCCAGGGCCCTGGTGTTCCGTGGATGTCTCCAGATGCCTTCTCACCTCTCGGCTCTAAGTGGCCTCTCTAACCCGCATCCTCCTCCTCACCTTCGTGCCTGTCCAAGTACAGCCCCGCTGCTCAGGGTGCCCTTCCTCCCCTGCCTGCTTAGCAAACTTCAGCTCATCCTTCAAAGCCCTCCTTGGGACCAGCAGTTAGCATAACGGCTATGTCGCTGGACTCTCATGTAGTCGACCGTGGTTTGAGTCCCAGATCTGGTGGCTTAAACTCATGCTGGGCGCGTGTGCGTGTGTGCCCAAGATCCCGAGAGGAGAATGGAGGAGAAGGGATTGCAGAGTGGCCATCCCTCCTGGGAGGTGATTTCTCACTTTCTATCTCTCTGTCTCTTTCTGTCTTTCTGGAGAGCACACACGCCCTATAGCAAAAATCTCTCCAAAAAAAAAAGTCCTCCTTAAAAGGTTTTCCAAAGAGCCTCTTATGGTCCAATTAAGTTAGGCCAATCATGAATCATTTTCTGTGGCTTGGTACACTGTCACTGAATGAAATCAGGATTCTGTGATTAGGAAATGGGGCGGGGGGGGGGCTTTGAACAGGCTCATTTTCCCTTGAACCTTGCTAGTCAAAGTGAGGCCCCAGGCCCAACAGCATGGGCATCTACTGGAACGTGCTAGAAATGCAGAATCCCATGGCCCACCCTGCACCTAATGAAGCAGAGCCTGCATTTGAACAAGGTCCCCCAAGTGATTCGCATGCAGGTAGAGAAGTACTGCCCTAAACGCGGTTTTCCTGCTAGTGCGTTGCTGGGCAGGAGCGTGGGGGAAAGGGAAGCAGGCAGGGAGGTGGGAAAAGACACAGGCTCCCCGACATCTCTGCGGATGCTGCACAGGAAACCGCCCTGTCTGCTGGCTCCTCCACCCCTCCTCTCTCCTGTGGGTCAAAGCAAGTTCCCTAAGACAAAAACCTCTGAAAAATAAAATAATAACAATAATAATAATAGAAATAATTGCACCACCGAAGTCAACTCCTCATACTTCTGGGTTGTAGAACCCGGCCTCTCCGGGGGCCCAATCTGCTGTGCGGTACGAAGTTTCACCGAGACTGAAGTGCTAGGGACGCCAGGGTCTGTGGCTTGGCCAGTGAGTGCACAGAGACCCTGATGGCGACAGCCCTCCAGCAGGGCTAGGCCAGGACAGCTGGTGGTGACAGCAGCTAAGAAGGTGGCGATGCACCTGCAGTTCTCCGTGAGCAAGTAGGGCGAGGCGCAGGGAATCGGAGGAGCTGTGCCAACACATCCCACGTGGCTGGCAATCCACGGTGCCCACCACAGGACCCTGGCGCCCCTGCTCCATGAAGGAAGGAGCTAAGGCAGTACGCCTGATCCTCTCCGTAGAGAGCCTGGCAGCTGGTGTGTTCTCAGCAAAACTGCTTACATAGGTGAGTGAATTTCCGACGGGGGACCCTCACGCTTGCTCTTGGCCTCCGCTCCTCCCTGCACTGTCAGATGCTCTCGTTTTATTTTTGCAATAAAGTATGTGCACTCACCAGAGTGAGACAGAGAGGGAAAGGGAGAAATCACCCCCGAGAGGGGACAACCACACCACAGCCCCTTTTCCTCCATTCTCCTCTAGGGATTTTGGGCATGCACGCGCACACACCCAGTGTGACTCTCAAGCTGCCAGTTGGGGACCTGACCCACTCAGCCAGTCATGTGGGGTTCAGTGACTCCACACCACCTACTGGCCCCCAACTTTATTTTATTGTTTTTATTCTTATTGCCAGAGTGTATGTGTGCTCACCAGACCAAAAGAGACAGAGACAGAGAGGAAAAGAGGGCAAGTCCCAGTGGGGAGTGGTCATGACACAAAGTCCCAGTGGGGAGTGGTCATGCCACGTCTTTCTCCTCCATTTCTCCATTCTGTCAGCATTCTGAGCGCACGTGCACACAAGGCCAGTGTGTTAGTCTGTCTTCTTTTCTTTCTCTCTCTCTCTCTCTTTCTTTCTTTCTTTCTCTTTCTTTCTTTCTTTCTTTCTTTCTTTCTTCCTTTCTTCCTTCCTTCCTTCCTTCTCTTTCTTTCTTTCTTTCTTTCTTTCTTTCTTTCTTTCTTTCTTTCTTTCTTTTTTTCTTTCTCTCTCTCTCTCTCTTTCTCTCTCTTTTTCTTCCTTTCTTATCTTTCTTGTCTTTTTGCTATAGGGTATGTGCACTCACTGGAGAGACAGAGAGACAGAAAGAGAAATCACTCCCCAGTGGGACAGTCATGCCACAATCCCTTCTCGTCTCGGGATTGTACCAGGCATGAGTTTTAAGTCACCGGGTCTGGGACTCGAACCACTGTCAACTATGTGGGCTTCCAGCGACATAACCATTACACTATCTGCTGGTCCCATTCCAGTATGTCCTTCAAGCCACTATGGCCAGGAACTGCAGCCGGCCATCTCGGAGCTGGCTTCACTAACCATTAGGTCACAGGGCTGACCTGAGACTGCGTTTACTTACTTGACCTGACCAGGCATCTTCGAATGTCCACACTCAAGACTTGATCCTCTCAAGTCAAAGACTTGAGGTCAAAGACTCTTTTGTCTTTAAAAAACAAAATTCCCCCTACCGTCTGATATGAAAGGTGTTGACTGTCTGGACATTTGTTCCTTTTAAATAGCTCTGTTGTATGTGTGGCTTTTATTGTGAGCCATCTCAAATACTTTTTTGGAAGTAGGTGTGGTATAAATAATAAACAAATGAATGAATATCTGGAAGTGTAGCCGTTTTTATTTAATCTTGGGAGAATGCAGTTACCTCTGTGCTAAGTGCCTCTTGCTAAACCGGATGGCCTGCCTCTGTCCAGGTCTTAAAGCCAAAGCTGACACAGTTTGGGGTGCAGTGGGGGTGGGGCGATTGGCGACTTAACCTTGCTTTTTATTGCAGCTCGTTGAGTGGAGAGTCTATTAATTTTTTTTTTTTGAGAGTTTTTTGTTTTGTTTTGTTTTTGCTATAGGACACATGTGCTTGCCAGAAAGAGAGAGACAAAGAGACAGAAAGCGAGAGATCACCCCCCAGGTGGGGATGGCCACACTGCAATCCCTTCTCTTCCATTCTCCTCTCAGGATCTTGGGCACGCACGCACACGTACCTGGTGTGAGTTTAAGCCACCAGGTCCAGGACTTGAACCCCAGTCAACTACCTGTGAGTCCAGCAACATAGCCATTACGCCAACTGCTGGTCCTGGGGAGTCTATAAATTTTGGAGAAGAAAAAGGTCTAGGCCTCGTCACGGTCATCAAAGCAACTGCCTGTGTGGTCAAAGGACCCCTCTGTCTGGGCCTGTCTCTCCAAATGCATGATGATGGGGTTGGGATAGATGCTCTCGAAGGGCCTTGACCGACATGTGCATGTTGGCAGGTCTCTGAGGTGACTCCGAGGTATCTGTGGCAGGACACTGTGCACTCGCGCCTGTGTGGGAGAGAGCATGGGAACCAGCGACGGCACCTAACTACTTCCCTTCTCAGCCACTGCGGCCTTGGCCTTCCACGGGAGCTGGGAGGAGGTTCCACTGCCCCCTGACTGTCTTAAAGGCTGGGGCTCCCACTCACGGGGCTGTGCTCCCCTTGGCAGGAGGCTCACAGAGTCACAGACACTCCTGCCCTGTGCCTCCAGCTTGAGGGGACTGCTCCCTTGATGCTCCAAGTGAGCTCAGGGCCCTCCACCCCACCAGCCTCAACCAGGACAGACAGGCGGGGAGATGGACGGGGCACAGAGCAGGGATGCTGGGGCCAGCGACAACTGTCAAGTGCCGGGGATCTGGGGGGCCTCCAGCACCGGCAGAGGCCGGAGCACAGCTGGGCCCCGGGGAGGTACGGAAGGACCGACGTCCTCCTGGAGTTTCTCTCTGCCTGTGTAGCATGGTGGCAGCACCAGGCTCACCGAACTGACTGAACTGAAGTGAGAAGGGAAGGGAAGGGCACAAGTGTCAATCATAAAGGTTTGGTCCCCATCCCAGGTGTGGTGATCGGCAGTGTGGCGGTTCAGGACTAAGATGGAAGGGCAGCCAGGAGCGGGCCCCTCACTTCTCTGAGCCTGGCCCTTCCCTGCCCCAGGGCTTCCTGGAAGAAGGGCACTTGCCACTACTCTTCAGCGTAGCTGGGACCTGGTCTGAACCACGCCATTGACTGGGCACACCTCTCTTCGCCTCTGTCCAGGCTGAGAGGCGAGCCGGGAACTGCCACGGAGGGGAATGGCGCTTCCACAAGCTCACAGCCTTACGTCGTGGCGAACAGTTTATGGAGCACCTCCTACTTACCTCACTTCGCTGTGTCAGCGTCTCCATCTTTCAGCTGAGAAAAGGCTCGAGGAGAATGCTCATTTTCAGCTGAGGCTGTAACGAGTCTGCATCAGTTAGCATCTGAAAACCACACCAATGTATCACGTAGTTCCGTAGGTCAGAAGCCTGGGTCCGACGTGGCTCAGCCTCAGCACTGCTGTGAGAAAGTCAAGGTACAGGCAGGGCTGTGTGCCTCCCTGGAGGTTCCGGGATGCATCTGCTGCTGGCCCTCGGCCCACGGCCCATGCAGGCTGTTTGCCACCGGGTTCCAGGCGGAGTAGGAGGGACTGGCCTCACATGGCTCAGGCTGCCTGCATTCCTAGTCGTGCAGCTCCCTCCCTCCCTCTCCAAAGCCTGTGGTGGTGGTGGAGTCCTGCTTAGGCTTGGAGTCTCTCTGACTGCCCCGTGGGGTCTCACCTCTCTTCTTTTATTTTTTTTGGAGAGGTTTTTTTGTTTGTTTGTTTTTATGCTATAGGGTGCGTGTGCTCACCAGACAGAGAGAGAGACAGAAAGCGAGAAACTATTCCCCAGGAGGGATGGCCATGCCACAATCCCTTCTCCTCCATTCTCCTCTCGGGATCTTGGGCACGCACGCAAATGCACCCGGCATGTTTTAAGCCACCGGGTCCGGGTCGACTACATGGGAGTCCAGCAACACAGCCATTACGCTAACTGCTGGTCCAGTGTCTCACCTCTCTTCTGCTTTATCTGGACAGAGGGTTTGTGTGATTACATCGGGCCCATTGGGATGACTCAGGACATAACCAAGTCTGCAAGCTCCTTCGGCTGTGCAGTATGACACTGTCACAGGTTCTGGGCATGAGGGCGCGGTCCCCTTGGGGGCCAGTATTGTGCTACCACAGAGAGGTTCCAAAACTGTCACTCAGCTAGTAAGTGGGAGAAGTAGAAGACGAATATCTTCTGGCTGTAAATACCCTCTTGGGCCAGCCAGAGATGTGGTGGTTAAGGTGGCTGGATCCCACATGGTCGACTGCGTGGCTCTAGTCCCAGACCCAGCAGCTTGAGAACACTCCAGACACGTGTGTGTGTGCATGCCCCAAATCCAAAAAGAATGGAGGAAAAGGAATTGTGGTGTGCCCATCTCCCCCGAGGGGGTGCTTTTTCACTCACCCCACCCCCCCAGCAAGTTCACACTCCCTATAGCAAAATTATAATAAATAAATAAAAAGATAAAACATGTACTGTCTCCACCACATCCCAGCTGCCTAAGGGACTTTGAGGGTATCATTTGTCATTTAAGCGTCTCTTTCTTTCTTTCTTCTTCTTCTTCTTCTTTTTTTTTTCCTTTTTCTTATAAGACACAGGTGATTAAGCCCAGGAAGAAAAGTATCCCCATCTCCAGAAAGATGGGTTTCTGCAGGCCCCGGTCATCTGGCCTGGCACCTCACTCCCTGTGACTGTCCAGGAAGCTATCTGGAGGTCACACCTAATTGGCCCAAGCTGGGGGCTAAGGTGAGTCCAAAGCCTCTCTGCCTGTCTGCCGGGTAGTCCCCAGGAAGGCCTCGTATCGCGGGGGAACGATCGCAGGCTCCTTTCCCTTCCAGCCTGAGCAGAGCGGGAGGAGCCTGGGATGCTGAAGGAACTGGTGCTCAGGCTGTGCCGGACACCACCCGCTGGCTTCTGCCTCCAGCCCCCAGTGAAAGCACACTTAGTCCTGTCGGGGAGGTCCTTGGATGAGCAGACGGATTCCAACTTCCTTCGTAACCTTTCACTGTACCTCTGCTTCGCGTGGGGCACTGTTCTAGGCACTCAAGATGTATCGGTGAACAGAAAAGACAGGGATGCCTGCCCTCACGGAGCCTGCATTCTGCTGGAGGTGGCGGGCAGGCAGGAACGAAGACACAGTAAGGGAGTGAATTATTTACTGTGCAAGAGGTGATAAGAGCGATTGAAAAAGAAAGTAGGAGGGGCCAGCAGTTAGCGTAATGGCTATGTCACTGGACTCCCATGTAGCCAAGCATGGTTTGAGTCTCAGACCCGGTGGCTTAAAACACGCACATGCGCACGTGTATGCGTGCCCAAGATCCTGAGAGGAGACCGGAGGAGAAGGGATTGCGGCGTGGCCGCCCCTGGGGGGTGATTTCTCCCTTTCTGTCTCTCTGTCTCTCTCGCTCTGGCTAGCGCACACGCCCTATAGCAAATACCTCTCCAAAAAAATTTTTAAAAAAGAGAGAGTAGGGCAGGATAAGAGTCAGGAGTGCTGCTGGGAGAGCAGACGTGTTAAATACGATGGACCTGGGGCTAGCAGGTGGCGTGGTGATTAAGGCACTGGACATAGCTGAACCACATAGCTGACTGTGGTTCGAGTCCTGGCCCTGGTGGCTTGCTTTCTCACTTTCCCTTTCTTCCTTTCTCTCTCTGCATCTCTCTCTGATCAAATTAAAATAAATGAATGAATAAATAAAATTAAAACAAATAATTATTTAAAGATAAATAAATAACTATAGTGGACAAAGTAGGCCTCATTGAGGTGGGTGGATTGAACAGAGACTTAAAGGAGGTGAGGGGGTAGTCAAATGGACACCCGAGATAGAAGGCATCCCAGGTAGAGGGGCAATCATACAAAGGCCGGGGCAGATGCATGCTGGTGGAGAAACAGCCAGAAGTCCAGAGAAGTTGCAGAGGACGGTCATTGTAAGGATTTGGGGTAACTTTGAGTAGATTAGGAAACCATCACGAAGTCTGTTTAGGTTAGTTTAGTTTTTAACTTTGCCAGAGGGCACATGCCTTTGCTCGGGGTGGAGAGAAAGTAAAAAAGCTCCCTCATGGGGAATGGTCACACCACAATCCCTTCTCCTCCATTTCTCCCTCCTCTTGGGATTTTGGGCTCTCCCACAAGCCCCGTGTGTTTCTCAAGCCACTGAGTCCAGACCTTGACTCAGTACTTGGCCATATGGGACCCAGGCACCTAACCACCACACTGCCAGCTGGCCACACTGAGGTTCTGCTTGAAGGAACAACTTGTAAGAAGGTCTTGGGTTTCCATGGAAGCTGATGCAGAGGGGAGCTGGAAGGGGAAGGGCCTGGGGGGTGGGGAAGATAAACCAGAGGGAAGGCTGGGCTGGAGCAGAGGTTTTATGCAGCATCACCTCGGGAGAGATGCGGAAGCTGGGGAAGGTGGGCTCTGGTCTTGGGCCAGCTCAGGGGGTGAGGGAGCAGTTTTGGGGTCTGTGCAGGTGGGGCTGGTGGGCACATCTGAGGCCTGCAATGGCTGCATGCCCGGTAGCATGGCAAAGTTCAGGGATCCTGGACAGGGAATAGAGACTGTGATTCTCCAGCTCATGCACTAAGCAGCCAGAGACAGCCCAGCATCCAAGCCAGGAGGTGGAACCACCTGCTCCCGGTTGAAGAATCAGCAACGAGTCAAATTTTGTGAGGAGGAAACCAGTTAGAACGTCCTCTTTTTGTGAGCTGCCAGCAGCAAGGCCAAGCAAACTCACAACTGTCTTGTCGGAGCGTCTAGTGAGGGAGGTCTGGAGAGGGCAGGGTAGAGCCAGCCCGGTGGATGGAAGTGACAGGGCCTGCTGCGTCCTAGGTAAGACAGGAGCTTGTCGCTGTTCCCTCTAGGTGGGGTGACTACAGTAACAAGACGCAGGACCCAGGAGCCAAGCCCAGTCTCCTGTCTTTCTCCTCCCCGTGCTCGTCCCCACCAGAGTTTGTGCTCCGCAGATGAGGAACTCTTCTGCCTTGAGGGTTTTGGGGACAGAGCATCCTGTGAGTGTCTCTACTGGGCCGCTGCTCCCGTCAGTAGCCTCTCAATTGTGCCAGAGCCCTACCTAGGCAATAAGGCACTGGGCCCGGCAGCAGTGGCTGGGAGCCTTTTTCTAGGGGCTTCTGGGAAGCTGCATTCTTGATGGTGAATGAAGAGATCAGGTCTCTGGAGGGCGGAAACAGTCATGTCAATTGTGTTGATGTGTATGAACTGACGTGCAGAGGACAATGTGTAGACAAAATATGCTAAAAAATGAATGGGTGTGGGACCAGCGGGTGGTACGGCAGTTAAGGTGGTGGACCCCACGTGGCTGACTCTGTGGTTCGACTTCCAGACCTAGTGGCCTGAAAATCACACTGAGCATGTGTGCATGCATGCTCAAAGTCCTGGTAGGAGAATGGAGAAGGCACTGTGGTGTGGCCATCCCTCCAGGGGAGTGATTTCTCACTTTCCCTCTCTGGTGAGTGCACGGACTCTATGGAAAACTAAAACACTTAGAGTAGGTTTTAGGGACAGCTCCATGGCCAGTGGTTAGGTGCTGTGCACTGGGAGTCATATCCCACATGGCCTACCCAGTTCGAATCCCAGCCCTGGCAGCTTGAAAACGACACCATGCCTGTGTGTGCATGAACCCAAATCCTGACTGGATAAAGACGTGGAGAAAAAAGGACCCTGACCATGCTCGGGGGGTCGGGGGGCTTTCTTTCTCCCTCTCTAGCCAGTGCACATGCCCTCTGGCAATTAAAAAATGAGTTTTATTTCCAGCGACTGGGTTTATTGGAGGAATTTTTCTCCCTCATAATTCATGTACCAAGTATATATTTTTATATCTTTCAAGTGCCCTGTAATAAGAGGAAAATAACAAGGTTATTATAATTACAGTGGCAGAAGCTTTAACTTGTGCAAAGGACTGCTGGAAAAGAAAGGAGTCCCGAGAGAAGAGGCCCTGTCACCCTGCACTCTCATGGCGGGCCAAGCACGCCGGGGTCTAGGAGGGCTGGCACTTGCTTGGAGGCCTGCGATGTGGCGGCTGATTTCAACCCCACTCTGGCGCTCCTAAAACAGACCCTGTCACCCTGACATCAATTTTGTATTTCTAATCCCATTATCCCTGCACCTGGCAGGCCCGGCCTGGAGGGTACTGAGTGAACACTAAGCTGATTAGAGCTAGCTGACTGGGTTTCCCTCATGTTCGGTCAGTCCTCACTTCCCATGGGGACGGGTGGTGATGAGGCTGTTCCCAGGAATATTACTCTCTGGAATTAGAGTGCTTTTCCCTTTATTTCACTCACACCTGCCAGCTCCTACCACCTAACTCGCATCTCCAGAGAATAATATAGATCTTTTTTCATCTGTATTTATGTTTCATTTTTACTACCCAAGACATTTATATTTATTTCAGGAAACTGGGGGGATATGTGAGAGGAAGAAAAATTACCCATAGGCCCACCAGCCAGAGATAACAATATATTTTTGTCTCCTATATATATAAAATTGTTACAATGAAATAATATCAAATAGACTGTTTGTGAACATGGTTTTTCTAGAAATAAACACCTTGAGTGCCTATAAATATGTGCATCTATGCATGCATTTTAATGAGCTCATACTAGTCCGGCATTTAAATCAATCATTAATCACTCCCCTAAGGTTGCACAGGCTTTTCCCAACTTTTTGTCATTGTAAATAATGATGAGATGGGAACCAGCAGTTACCATAATGGCTATGTCGCTGGACTCCCACGTAGTCGACCCCGGTTCACGTCCTGGACCCAGTGGCTTAAAACTCACGCCAGGCATGTGTGCATGCGTGCCCAAGATCCCGAGAGGAGAATGCAGAAGGGATTGCGGCGTGGCCATCCCCCCGGAGGGTGATTTCTCACTTTCTGTCTCTATGTCTCTCTCTGTCTATCTGGCGAGCGTACGCGCCCTATAGCAAAAACCTCTCCAAAAAAAAAATAATGCTGTGATGAACACGCTGTATTGATCTTTGCCTCCATCGCATCCCTATTTGATTAGGCCAGATTACAAGAGATAAATCCCTAGTTTCACATGAATGCAATCTTTTAAAGTATGTCCCTTTAAAACTGGCGAGCCTTGGAACCAGCAGTGAGCGTAATGACTATGTCACTGGACTCCCATGTAGTCAACCGCAGTTCAAGTCCTGGACCCGGTGGCTTGAACTCATGCCGGGTGCAAGGGCCTGCGTGCCCAAGATCCCGAGAGGAGAATGCAGAAGGGATTGCGGCGTGGCCATCCCCCCGGAGGGTGATTTCTCACTTTCTGTCTCTCTGTCTCTCTCTGTCTTTCTGGAGAGCGCATGAGCCCTATAGCAAAAACCTCTCAAAAACAAAACAAAACAAACTGGTGAGCCTTAAGGCCATGAGCCGCTCACCATCTTTTTCTCCTGCAAAGTCCAGGAGCCAAAGATGTGAAGGGTCGACCTCAATGAGCACTGAGGTTCCTCCAGCTCGGACCCTCTGGTTCTAGCTTCTCTGTGGGGTCAGGGCTGTGGCCAGGATCTCTGACTAGATCCTGCCATTGTGTTCTGTCACCCCAGTCGCCTCTATTCTGGCTTTGAAAGGGCTCATGTTTTCATGGCCTCTGGCTGGTAGAAGTACATGTCCCTTTATTGTTTGTTTTAATTTTGCCAGAGAAAGACAGAGAGAGAGAGGGAAAGTGAGAAAGCAAGCCATCAGGTTTGGGACTTGAACCACAGTCAGCCATGTGGGAGTCCAACACCTTAACCACCACGCCACCTGCTAGCCCCTATTATTATTCTTATTATTCTTATTATTATTATTATTATTACTATTGTTTTCAAGTTTGATCAGTGAGAGATACAGAGAGAGAGAGAGAGTGAGAAAGCAAGCCACCAGGCCTGGGACTCAAACCACGGTCAGCCATCTGGAAGTCCACCGCCTTTAACCACCACACCACCTGCCGGTCCCCTCCACCTTCCTTCTGAAGCCACTTCCCTGAGTTCCTGCTCTGCTCAGCTCTGCAGTGTCTCCCATGGTGTCTGCAACACTTCCATCCACTCTGCTGAGTCAGGAAGCGGGAACAGTCATGAAGGAGATGCTTGGTGCTAAGCCCTGGGAAAGGAGGAGGCGAGCAAGACGAAGTCCCCATCTCCATGGAGCTTGTAAATAACTAAGATAGTTTCAGGCCTGGTCAGTGGCAAAGCGGTAAAACTTGATGCTCTGCAATGGTGACCCATGTGGAAGGGTTCCAGGTCTGCCTCCAGAGACCTTCCTGAGTACACTGAGCATGCGTGTGCCCACGATCTCGGGCTGGCTGAGGCTGGGGGGCGACCCTCCAGGGTATTAGGACCCCGTGGCGGATGCTTGTCTCTCTGACTCTCTTGCTGATGGAAAAATAAATTTAAAAACATAAAAGGAGGAAGGAAATGTCAAATAGTGATGAATACACAGAAACAGCAGAGGAGTAGGAGAGCTAATGGGTGTGGAGAGGCGTTTGAGATGACATGGTCCAGAGTGTCCCCTCGGAACAGGTGACATGCGAATGATGCGTCTCCCTCCCGTTGCTGGGTGGGGGCTGGGTCCTATTCCAGATCCCCAGAAGTAGCACAGTGCCTGGCACAGAGAGTGCTCGGGAGATGTGCACTGAAGGAATGAGTGAGCGAGTTCAAGTCGATGGAGGTGGTGGTCCCGCCACCCTCCGCACTGTTCAGACCCTCAAGGAGCTCAGCCCAACTCCAGGGAGGCAGGTTCCTCCCCGGAGTCCTCACCTTGTGACCTGAGAGGGAAAAGGAGACCAGAGAGGTAAAGTGTGAGTCCCTGCACCACAGGCCACAGGGAGGGCTGACTGCAGAACCAGCCCAGCAGGGGTGAGGGGCAGAGGCTGGAGTTGGGCTCTGCCCTCCACCCACGGCACAACCTCGGACAAGTTTTCTGCTCTCACGCCTGGAAAACGAAGACAGCGCCTACGTCACTGAGCTGTCGTGAGGATTAAAATGAGATAAAGCACGTAAAGAGCTGGCAGGGAGGTGGGCTCAGAAGATGGGAGCAGCTGGCATGGCTGTTTCCGCAGTGCCCAGGCACCAGGGCCTGCCTGTGGCTCACTGGGATAGATAGACCTCGGCTCCCTTCCGAGCTCTCCCAGAGCATGGGGCAGTGAGGGCTGGAGCTGGAGGTGGGAGGTCTGGGCACCGACTTCAAGGGAATTAGGAGGTGGTGAGCAGGCATGTTCACAGGACTCCACACTTTTTTTTTTTTTTAATATGTCATTTATGGGTCATCTGCTCTAGGCCTAGAGCTTTCTTTCTTTCTCTTTTCTTTCATTTGGTTTTGCAATAGGGCATGTACACTTACCAGGGAGGGACAGAGAGAGTGAGAAAGCACCCCCACCCTCCCTGGGAGGCCATGCTGCAATCCTTTCTCCATTCTCCTCTCCATTCTCTCCGCACATGTGCTCAGGGTGTTTTCAAGCCATCAGGCAGGACTGGAACTGCAAGGTCAGCCATGTGGGATCCAACCGTTTTAACCTCCACTCCTCCTGCGGGCCCTGACTCCAAATTTTTACTGACACCCTGACTTCTCCTTTAGAGGAATCACTGTTGGCCAGCTGTGGTGGAGCAGAGGTAACTCACACTCAGCAGTGTCGAAGCTATGTGGGAAGGTCCTGGGATCATGTCCCAAGGTTTCCCTGTACATGCTGTGTGTGCATGAGCCAGGCTGGGGCTGGGGAAGGGTCGATGGGGGTGTCCCTACTGGGGTGCCCCACCTTGGGAAACATAAATAAATGTTTTTAGCAAGAGAGTTACTGTGAGCCATTGTAGTACATGGAGCTCCACAGAGACAGCGCCAGCGCAAGTGAGAGCCGGACGGGCACTGGGCGACTCTGTGCCTCGCCGAGGAAAGATAACTAAACGTGGGCAAAGGAGATCCTAAGAAGCCGAGAGGCAAAATGTCATATGCGTTCTTTGTGCAAAGTTGGCGAGAGGAGCACAAGAAGAAGCACCCAGATGCTTCAGTCACCTTCTCAGAGTTTTCCAAGAAGTGCTCAGAGGTGGAAGACCATGTCTGCTAAGGAGAAAGGGAAACTTGAAGATATGGTGAAGGCGGACAAGGCCTGTTATGAAGGAGAAATGAAAACCTACATCCCTCCTGCAGGGAAAACAAAAAAGAAGTTCAAGGATCCCCATGCACCCAAGAGGCCTCCTTTGGCCTTTTTATTGTTCTGTTCTGAATATTGCCCCAAATCAAAGGAGAACATCCTAGCCTATCCGTTGGTGATGTTGCAATGAAACTGGGAGAGGTGTGGAGTAACACTGCTGCAGAGGATAAGCGGCCTTATGGAAAGAAGGCTGCTAAGCTGAGGAAAAATACGAAAAGTGTATTGCTGCATACCGAGCTAAAGGGAAGCCTGATGCAGCAAAAAAGGGAGTTGTCAAGGCTGAAAAGAGCAAGGAAAAGAAGGAGGAGGAGGAAGACGAGGAAGATGAAGAAGATGAGCAAGAAGGGGAAGATAAAGAGGATGAAGATGAAGATGATGAATAAGTTAATTCTAGCACAGTTTTTTTCCTTGCCTATAAAGCATTTTACTCCCCTGTATACAACTTGCTCCTTTTAAAGAAAAAAATTGAAACGTAAGGCTATGTAAGATTTGTTTTTAAACTGTACAGTGTCTTTTTTTGGTATAGTTAACACACTACCGAATGTGTCTTTAGATAGCCCTGTCCTGGTGGTATTTTCAATAGCCACTAACCTTGCCTGGTACAGTATGGGGGTTGTAAATTGGCATGGAAATTTAAAGCAGGTTCTTGTTGGTGCACAGCACAAATTAGTTATATATGGGGATGGTAGTTTTTCATCTTCAGTTGTCTCTGATGCAGTGTATACGAAATAATTGTTCTGTTAACTGAATGACACTCTGTAATTGCAAAAAAAAAAAAAAGTTGCAGCTGTTTCGTTGACATTCTGAATGCTTCTACATAAATACGTTATTTTTAAAAAAAAAGTTATTGTAGAAACAATATAAAGACATTAAAGGAAATTTTTAAGAAAAAATAAGTCACGTACGATCCCATCATTATAGCCCAGTATATTATTTTCATCAGTCTAGTCCTTCCTGTTTGTCCAGATGCACGCGTATTTTATTTAATTGTAGTCATAAAGTTTATTTTATATTCTGCATGTCACATAACGTTTTTTAATTTGCCAGAAGATGCATGTGTTTATCAGAGAGAAACGGGGGGAGGGAGAGGGGCAAGGTGAGACAGCACTTCCCACGGGGCATGGGCCCACCACAAGCCCTTCTGTTTGTTTCTCCTCCTTTTAGGATTTTGGACACACACACACACACACACACACACACACACACACGCCTGGCATGTTTCTCAAGTCGCCAGGCCTGGGACTTAAACTGAATGGTCGACCATGTGGGATCAAGCTGTCTTAGCCAGCAAGCAATGGGTTGGCCCCTACCTAATATTGTTATCATATGTGCTCATTCATAATCCTGCACTCTTCATAAATAGGATAAAAAAAAAATCCAGAGGCCACATGTGCTCACCAGAGAGCGAGAGGAAGAAAGCATCCCCCAGTGGGGCATGGTCACAACATTGTCCCTTTTCCTCCATCCCTCCTTCCTGTCAGAGTTTAGGCACACACGCACATATGCTCACCAGGAGTCGAACTGTGGCCATCCATGGAGGATCCAGCTCCCTTAACCACTACACCACGGGGCTAGTAATTTTTCTTTTTCTTTTTTTTTTTTTTTTTGGAGAGGTTTTCACTATAGGGCGCGTGCGCTCTCCAGACAGACAGAGAGAGAGAGACATAGAGACAGAGAGCGAGAAATCACCCCCCCAGAGGGGATGGCCATGCCGCAATCCCTTCTCCTCCATTCTCCTCTCGGGATCTTGGGCACGCACGCACATGCGCCTGGTGTGAGTTTTAAGCCACCGGGTCTGGGACGCGAACCGCGGTCGACTACATGGGAGTCCAGCGACATAGCCATTCCGCTAACTGCTGGTTGCACCACGGGGCTAGTAATTTTAATGAACGGGTTTAGGATGCCCCCCCACAAGTATTTTTTGTTCTTCTTTACATACCCCAGAACGTACACCTGGCAAATCATAGGTGCTTAGTAAATACATAACAAATGGATGACTTAAGGGAAAAGGTTTTAATTTCCTTTCACATGTACAGAGTCAGTATCAGCTCACTTCATATTCCAATGGATCTGCTGCTCCCTCCCACAGAGCGCGAAGGGAATTCCTCAAGGCCAGAGGTGGAAGGCCCAGGGGCCAGGGGCCAGGGCCCAAGGAGAGGAGAAAGGGAAGCTCACCGCCATTACTTGGTGGAAAGCAGTATAGAGAAAAGGGAGGAGAAAGGAGAGGAAGAGAGAAAAGAAGATGTAAGAGAAGGCTAGAAGTGCCTTAAACCATGGAAATGGAACTTGGAAATAATGAAAAAGAAGGCCGCCAGTGCAGACCCCGGTGGAGAGGGAGGGGAGCCAGGCAGCTTCCTCTGGGGGCAGGGGGGAGGCTGGAAACCAGGAGACGCAGAGGCAGAGCAAGCTGGTGCTGGAGGAAACAGCTGAGCGGATGCCAGCCACAGACCTGATTCCGAAGGCCGGTGTGTGCACTCATCCATCCCAGGTTGCTGTTGCCCTGGGGGTGGAGCTCCAGGTGTGGAAAATTCGAGTGCCGGCCTCTGCCCCACAGCCTCCGGCTCCAGGCCTGTGTATTCAGGCAGCCGGGCTACGTTTTCAGAACAATCTTTAACTTGTAGGCTGTACCTGCCCAACCAGAATGTCTGGCCAAAGCCTGTTTCGTAACATCCTCAGGTCTTTTGGGTGCCAAAGGCAACTGCAGCTCTGCCCCAAGGCAGGTGTGGACTGGGCCTAGCCAGAGGCAGGACTCGGCAATGGATGGGCCCCTTTCCTGTCTGGAGGCCATGGCCCCCACTTCTGGCAAGGGCAGGCTGAGGGCCTTGTGATTCTTCCAGCCAGAGCTCTTCGAATGGAGCTTTGTTCTCTTCAAGTCTTCCTGAAGGATTTAGGCTCCATCTAAGAAAGAACCTCACCCCTGAAGGTGTGAAGTTTCCTTCCTACCTACTTGGCTGATCTCTGATGAAGGCCCATCTCCAGTCCAGTCTGGCTCAGGAGAAGGCCCGTGACTTCTAGAATGCTCCCAGCTGCTGACTCCTGTGTCCTGGGCAGATCCTTGGTACCTGAGCACTCAGCTAGGAACAAGACCGAGCCTCAGAACAGGTTAAGAACGGGGACCAGCAGCTGGCACAATGGTTGCTCGCTGGCGTCCCACGTGGTCAGCCGTGGCTCAAGTCCCAGACCCAGCTGCTTAAAACTCATGCCAGGGGGCAGGCAGGTGGTGTGGTGGTTAAAGGCCCTGGACTCCCACATGACCAACCGTGGTTCAAATCCTCCTCGACCTGGTGGCTTCCTTTCTCACTTCTCTCTCTCCCTCTCTCTCTCTCTCTCTCTCCCTGGTCAAATTAGGAAAAAAACTAATAAAGTTAAAATAAAATATTTCTTTTTAAAAAACAAAAAAACTCACGTTGGGCATGTATGCCCAAAATTCCAAGGAGAATGGAGGAGAAGGGATTGAGGCATGGCTGCATGCCCTGGGGGTGATTTCTTGCTTTCTGTCTGTGTCTCTGGTGAACGCACATGCCCTATAGTGAAAATTTCTCTTTAAAAAACCCCAAAACAGAGTAAAGATGTAGGGAAGGAGCCGAGCTCACACCGTGGCCACGTCTCCCCAGGGCCAGCCTGCGTGGAGAGAAAGCGGAAACAGAGGTGGCCTCCCAGCGGCTGCCGCGTGCTGCAGAATCAGCCCTGAGCCTGCAGGCCTGGGAGGTTGGGAGGTGACTCCAGCGGGCCAGCACTGGCAGGGAGAAGACCGGTAGCCAGTCCCGCCTCCTGAGATACGCACGTGCCCAGTCACACGGAGAGCAGGGCGGTAAGCTGGCAGGTCAGCAGCATGCAGCTCCTTCAGGGCTTTAAGGTCTCCCAGCACCTCAGAAGGGTGGGGAAGGGCCAGCGCCAGAGACTGCTGGGCGGCTTCGTGGGGAGCCCAGTTTGCAGCTGAGTCGCAGCTGCAAGGCACAGTCCAGGAAGCAGCTAAGGGGCAGAAGAAGATCAAGAGGGTGTCTACACGGGCCTCCTGAGGCCAAAGAATGCCCAGAGTGGTAGCTGACCCCCCATCTTAGCCTCGACCCAGCCAACTTTCGGTCGCCAACTTTCCTGACCAACTGACCTGACGCAGGAGCAAGACCCGGCCCCTCAAAGGGGGCTGCCCACCCAGTGGGCCTGCCCTGCACTCAGCTCACATGGCTTCATCGCCCTCCCTCCTTCCTCGTTACCTCCCACCCTCACGGACAGGCAGTCCCTGTGGCTGCACTGCACAAGCTCCACTGGTCACATTCACCCCTATTATCTCCTTCCCCCATCTCTCTGGTGTCCCTCTGCTCCTGTGCAGCTCAGCCCCCTCCCCACATTCATTCAGAAACCTGCTGCAGCCTTGCAGCCTGGCAGCCTCCACACTGGCCCCCTGCCTCCTTCCCTGCTCTTCCAGCCCTCCTCCCCTCAGCCAGCAGCTAGACCACCTCCTGCTAGTCAAGCCTGGTCAGCTCACTCCCCTTAATGCTAGGCATGGCTCCCTAGTGCCTCCAAGGTCAAGCACCAACCTCTGAGGGGGGAGCCTAGGGGAGGCTATGAGCCCTCTGAAGGCAGCCCCAGCCCTCCAGCTCTAGCTCCCCCTTGGCTCTATCTTCTACCTGCATCACCCCAGAACACCTAGCCTTTTCACACTTCTGGGTTTTGCATATGCTTTTTCTTCACCTGGGATGCCCTCAGACTCCCTAAGACATCCACTCATCTTTCAAGTCTCAACCTAAAACTTCTTCCTTCAGGAAGCCCTCCGGGCCCTCTCAGGCAGAGGCTGGCATTTCTCCTGTGCGCCTGAGACAGCCTGTGCTCACCTCTCTTGGCACTGCCTCCCTGTGTGCTCCACCACTGGCCTGCTGCAGCCAGCAGCCTCTAACGGCCCTCAGTGGTCCCTGCCTCTCGCTGTCTCTCCCTGGCCAAAGCCCCCCCCTCCCCCGCCCGCCGCCCCAAGAGTGGACTGAGGAAACTGACTTTCAGTAAGGAGACTTACTGAAGTCTCGCAAGACTTTAGGAGGAAGCAAACTCCCATTTGGGCATAATCCTACGGAGAGGCCGACGAGGCGAGGAAGAGTCGTCTTTGGCCAATGGCTGGGAAGGGCCTGCATGGGTTTGGGAACCTTGCCCAGCCAAGCCTCTGGGATGACTGCGGCCCCTGTGGTTGGTCTCCTTGGGAGAGACTCTGAGCAGGGGCACTCGCTAAGTTGTGCCCAGATTCCTGACCATAGAACAGAGATAAATACTCTTTGGGGAGCCAAATGGTGGCCTGGCAGTAAAACATGGTGCTCAGTGAGGCTGACCCTCGTGGAAAGTTCTAGGTTCATATCCAGAGACCTCCCTGAATAGGCGAGGCGCAAATGCACCCATGCTCTGGGGCTGGCTGAGGCTGGGGCGGATTGAAGCGTCCAGATCCTGTCTCACTCTGGCTCGCTCGTGCAATGGACGGACAAACAGATGCTCGCTGTGCTGAGCCTCAGCAGTAGAAAACCAACACACATCTTCTCCGTTAGCCTTGAAGCTCCTTGGGAAGTGACGTAACACTTCTCTAGACCTGCTGAGCCGTTCACCAGGGACAATGAGAAGATCCTACGAGTTCTGAGAAAGTAAAGCAAGACAACAACAACAAAACAGGTCTCACATGAAGGGCTGAGAATGAGAATGTCGTCAGCCCTCTCAACGGGAACTCCAGGAGCTGGAGCACAGTGGGAGGGGACCACCAAACTTCTGAGGGAAAATGATCTCCAACCTCATCCGTTCCGTGTGAGTGCGGGGCTAGCCCATGGCTCAGCTGCAGTGCACTGCTTGGGAGAAGTCAGCTCCCATGTGGCCACAGAGGCTTGAATCCCCACCCTCAGACATACTCACGAGCGCCCAAGATGCTACTGAACAGAGGACCAGAGGCAGGGGATCTTGGTGTGACCAGCCCCTGTGGTGGGTGGGTATCTCTCTGTCTCTCACACTTTCATGTGCATGCCCATACACCCCATCATGAATAAAGAAAAAAAAAGTATAAGTGTAAAACATTTTTAGATTAAAATTTTTTTTAATTTGCTATAGGGCACATGTACTCACCGGAGAGAGACAGAGAGCGAGTCAAGGAAAGTGAGAAAGCACCCCCTTGGGGAATGAATACACTGCAATCCCTTCTCCACCATTCTCCTCTTGGGATTTTGGACACGCATGCACAGGTGCCTGGCATGTTTTTCAAGTGGCCGGGTCCAGGACTCAAATCGCACAGTTGGCGTGTGGGATCCAGCTGTCTTACTACCACACCACTTGGCTGGCTGAGTGTGGAATATTTTTAAAGGGCATCTCTAAAACATACCTCCCATGCACCCCCTTTTTTTTACCCCAGAAAGCTACTGAAGGATGTTCTCTGCCAAAATTAGAGAGTAAACCAAGAAAGAAGAAATGGGATCCAGGAGCCAAAAACCAATAAAGTGAGGAGCAAAGGGACTCTCCAGTGGGGGTGAAGGGCAATCCCAAGGAAACAGCTGTGGTCTAGACCTGCCAAAGCAGAAGGCTCCGGACCAGATTTGTTCAGAAAGATGAAATCAGTGTTTTTTGCTTTTTGTTTTCTTTTTAGGGCTTGTGTGCTCACCTGAGAGAAACAGAGAGAGACAGAAAAAGGGAAAGTGAGAAATCATCACCCGAGGGGATGAACATGCTGCATCTCCTTCTTTATCCTCCTCCTGGGATTTTGGGCACACACACTCACACACCTGGTGTGATTTTTCAAGCCACTAGGTCTGGGACTCAAACCATGGTTGGCCATGTGGGAGTCCAACGCCTTAACACCATGCCACCTGCTGGCCCCAAAACCTAATGTTTTGAATATACTGATTAGAGATTTACACAAATGGAATATTTGGGCATGAATCAATAACAAACGAGGGGGGGGTATTCAAAAAGTTCATGGAAATATGTGAAATGAAAAACTATGCATGTGGTTTAAATTTTTTTGCAACAAAATAAACTCATACTTTAATTTCACTTTAATAAACTTTTTGACGTTCCTTTGCATACTGTGCAAACAAACAAAAAAAGCAAGACAATTATTGGGTCATCGGAAAAGTCATGACGCATTTTTCTGTTTATTTATGCAAAAATGCGTCATGACCTTTCCAATGACCCAGTATTAAGTACTGGGAAAACAAAATGTGCAAAGTCATTGTAGTCTACACTGCCTCCACTGTGAACAGCTTGTGAGTTAAAAACACAGACACTAAATATTGATCTAAACAAAACGATGCTACAACTAAATCAGGTGGAAGGAGGGATGGAAGTGTCCTGTGTGGTGGCGACAGAGCAAAAATGACCTAAATCTTTGAAATGTCAACAAAGGGTCAGCTAAAAGTTGAAAGCAGTTGATTCTCAAGAGCTGGAAATGAAGTCTGAGTTGCAAGAAACAGTTGTTTTTCATAACCAGTCTTACAGAACTATTGAACTGAGGATGTTATGGAAGTATAATGCTATTAAAAATTAAAATAGAAATCTACCACAATTTCTCCACACACAGAAGGTGCTCAGTAAACGCTAGCCATTAGAATTCCCACCGTACGACATCTTTATCAGACAGATGCTGTACCTGCAGGTGAGTGTGATGGACCAGGACACTTGAGTGTAAATGACAAAGCCTTGACTCAGATGGGGAAAATATAAAAAGGAAACGTATTGTGTCAAGTCGTAAAGAGGTTCAGAGCCAAGCTGACTGTGCCGTTTGAGTCCTGGACCCAGTGGCTTGAAAAACACACTAGGCATGTGTGTGTGCATGCCCAAAATCCTTAAAAGAAAAATGGAGAAGGGATTGTAGCATGACCAGTCCCCATGGGAGGTGCTTT